GTCCGTCATGACGAATGGGACCCCATCACTCACTCTGCCCAAAAATGGACTAATTTTTCTTTCCAATACGCTCTACTACTCACATCGGAAGTAGCTAGTATCGTCCAGTGTGACAGTCTCAGCGCCAATCTTGAATTTGTATGCGGAAAAACTTGCTTTCCAAGACGATACCATTCCCTAACACTCGTCTCTTCAATCGAAATGAAAGCTGAACTAACCTCAAACTTCATTTTAACCGGGACAGGTGAGTTGAGCCGAGAGCAACGGTTTGCCGGCCTGAGGCGACCCGTAAAGCGACCGCCTACTATGACCTCAGCTCTGATTGGCCGACGCCGAACGGGAGAGGTCGCCCGACGGAGCAGGATCCGGATCAGGCGTGGCGACGGCCCGGCCCGGCCGACCGACTGACCGGTTGGTCTAAGGCCAGTCGAGTTGTCCCGAGGCCGAGGCAACGACCTCGCGGTGCAACTCAGGCGCGATCGCCAAGACGGCGACATTTCCTTTTTAGCCCTCTTCCCTTGTTCCCTGTGCGTGCGGACGTGTCGGTCAGTTTGGCTGCTTTTGCGTGTATGTGTGTGTGTGTGTGTGAGTACCGGGTTGTCTGTCCCCTCATAGACATTCTATCCACTCTTTTAACACGTATACTTTCACTCGAGTGTATACGTGTACTGTGTATCGGCATGTAGGCGTGTGTCTGTGCGTGTAGGAAGGCACGCCGTTTTGTGCGCTTGTGCGTCTGCCGTCACCCAGCCCTCTCGCCACGTGCACGTCTAGGGCGTGTCTATCGTTAAAGCCTGTCCTGCCGCGGTAAAATCAACACGCACATTTACCGGTCGAGACCGCCTTGACTGGAGGGCTTCGTCGAGGAATTTGCATGTCCACGCCGCAGTCTCGATTTTGCGCCAGACTGAATAGTGCATCAGCCAACTGACATAACGTCGGTTGTCGATCTGTCCTCTGACTGCGCCCAAATTGCTGTCTGTTTGCTTCGACCGGTGCTCGTGTCCTCCCGGCTGGGATGGCCGCAATGCAGTCACTCGATGCCCACCCGCCAGGCCTGACCGCGACTGCGACGTGCGCATTTGCGTTGACCCTGCTGCTGTCTACGAGTGCCGCATGTGCTGACTGCTGGCGAGGCTGTGTCTGTCTACTGGCCTGAGTATCCGCAGGTCGGCACGTAAAGTCGCCGCGGCACTTAATTGGGCCAGGAGGCCATGCCCACAAATAGAGTTAGACTTACAAAAGCACAATCGCACCAGCAAAACTACAGCGAGTCAGCACGAATGGACTATGAAGTGGATGCCGCGGCGGAATAGCGCATCGATCGACGTCAGCCTCGTCGAGCCGGCCAGTTGAGTCTTGGCGTCTGGCGCACGCACACAAGTGGGCACGTGCACGGCGCACGGCGCACAGCGCACAGAGCTCGCGAGTGGGCACGCGGACGCGCGCGGCGTGCAGGCGCAGTGGCATGCGCGGCGTTGACGGCTGTTGCATAAAGTGACGCCTTTTCCACACGCCCAGTGAGGCACACTCGCACCGGCGGACCGCACGCACATCAAGGCAGCGCCATCTGAGGCCTGTTCGCAGCCGATTGCAGCCGACCACACCGGACCGGAGTATCTCGCCTGTGCTCGCATCGCCGCAGGCCTGTTGTGCTGGCGTGGCCTCGACACGGAATGCCGAGTCTTCCCGTCACACCGTGCGGATAAACCGGCCACTCGAGCCAGGGACTTATTCCGTCCATTTCGTGAGCTGAAAACGGCGTGTGTGTGTGTGTGTGTGTGATGATTCGGCGTGAGAAGAGAGAGA